TCTAGAGCTTGGAGACTTTTAATCCGAGGAATAGAGGGATGCCCCAACCTATTGTGCCAAAGGATGGCGAAGACTTTGTGGAGGAAGTTGAATTCCGTGGAACGAACGGGTCCGGCCACATGAAGAAGATGCGAACCGAAAAATGATAAAGGCCTTGGAATTTCCTAGCTATACCAATCATCCTCAAGCTTTTCGTGTCCCGTATCACACAAATATCGAGTTTGAAGATCAAACAACAATGTGAGTCGAAGTCAATTTAGCAACGTAAACAAGGTTATAAGAAAATGAGGGTGCATATAGGACATTAAGCAAGTACCAAGGATGATGATAGAGGGACAAGTACCAATGTGAGTAATCGAAGCTTGTTGACCAGCTTAGCAATTTAACAAGCATATTAGAAATAGGGCGATATTGACTAAAAAGGTTTATGGAGCATACTATGTGATCTATAGCTCCAGTATCTAAAATCCAGACAGACGGACAAGTATGAGAATTGGAATGACAGGAAGATACTAAGGTACTCGTCATATGGCAAGAAGGAAAATCGATCCGGAGGGAGTTGATGTGGACTCGGAGAGTTGATTTTGGGAGATTGAATTAAAGCCATCGTGTTTGCATATTGATCTTGTGTGAGAGAAATGGAAGGAGGCAGTGTGACACAAGTGTTAGGTTTTGCAGCAGGATTGGGATAGTCAGCAGATTCAAGATTCTCAACACTATGCCTGGACATGCATCGCTCCGTAGATAAACTAGCCGCTTTAATCGGATTCGTAGGATTCTTTCGCCGATGAATATTAATAGACCTGCAAGAGGAAGAACCATTTCCAAAAGCTCGGTTTTGGATTTGTAGCTCTGGAGGAAAACCATGCTTTTTGTAGCATGTATCCGCCACATGACCCGTAGACCACAATAAGAACACATTGGTCCGGTAGATGAACCTCCTTGAAATCCCATGAACTTTCTTTGAAAATTGGAGGTAGAGACTCCTCTCGCTCATGAAGGCAGTGGGTGGTGCTTCAGAGGTGTGATTTAGGTGAGGCGTACACTAAAGACATTTGCCTCTCTTGTTGAATAACAAGAGAAAATACTTTGTTGATCTCGTGTAAGGGATCAAGAAGCATGATCCGTGATTTAACCGTGGAGTAATTTTCATTCAATCCTTTCGTAAATCCGATCACATAGTCATTCATTTGATAATCCTTCACAACTTTAAGAGCTTCACAATTGCATCGGGGATTGCAGGAACAAGATGGCACCGGCCTTAGATTCATTAGTTCTTCCCAAAGGATTTTTAATTGAGTGAAATATTGTGTTACGCATTCATTACCCCGATGAAGAGCGTAAATGTCATCTCGTAGGTCCGCAATACGAAAGGAATCTCCATGAGAAAATCTCTCTCATAGATCTCTCCAAACCTCACTGCCGTGTCTCAACCGCAGGATGCCGTGAGCAATAGAACGGGAAACCGAATTGACTAGTCATGAAAGCACCATCGTGTTGCACCTTTCCCGCCTAGAGTACAAAGGATCACTATCATTGCAGGAGCCGGAATAGAACCATCCACAAATTTGTGTTTATTTTTTGATAAGCAATGCCATTTTCATGGATCTTGCCCACGAGTGATAGTTAGAATCGAGAGAACAGGAGAAACCAAGTACTAATGAAGGATTTTCATTAGCATGTAGAAAGTAAGGACTAGAAGGTTGATCTTCGGTCCGGAAATCGTGCTTGCAAAACGAGTTTCGCCATTGATGTATAAAAGAAAGATCAAGACAACCAAAGGAGTGATATGAGAGATTTTATGGAAAGATTGGAAAAGAAATTGTGAAACCCACGCAAGATATTATGCGTGTTTGTTTCTTGGGAAAATGAAAAAGAAAGTTGCAGAAGAAAAGAAAATGAAAGAACCCAAAGATCGAGCGGCAAAAGAAATTTTGAAAAGTGTGGCGAAAGGCTCGATACCATAACACGAAAATGGCATGAATTATTCTTGTTTTTTATTGAACAGAGAGAGTCTATTTATACAAGATGCCAGCTAAGTTAAAGGATTGCCAACAAAGCATATTCCAGCTAAGCAAAGTAACTACAAACTTAATCTCACATAATATAACTAATGCTTCTATTTGATATTTGTGATAAAAAAAATATGTGATAACTTCTTTGAGCTATTTACATCCACTTCATGAAAGTAAAGTCACATTCACAATTAATTAATTAATCGGTCAACCTACAGATATATTATAAGGGCTTGTTCAAGAAATTATTCCATCAAGGTGGCACAAGAAGACGCAGGTTTTGTGCCATTTCTAAGCATGTTGTTATTGTTAAAGAATGGACACAATTTCTTAAACCGTCAGGGTGATATCATACAGACAGCGTGAAAAGAGAGTAATATATTTAAGAAATCAGTAAATGGATACCTTCTTTAGTGTTGGCTTGGCAATGTAGGCGGGCCTGCTAGCCTATGTTAGGTGAAAAAAAGAAAAAGAAAAACTAAGTAGTAAAAAATATTGTAAAATCAAAATTATATCCTTTTCGTTTTTTTCTTTTAACTCACATACTTACGTTTCTTAAAAAAATTAATCTGTTAAAATTTAAATTTATAATATTTTATTATAAAAAATTATTATTATTAAATTACAAGCTTTTAATTTATTTGTTTCCTTATTCCTGTGGCGATCATTCTCGAAATCTCTTACTATGCAAGTTGGCTTAATATGGATAATCATTTCTTTTACAATAGGTGGGTTTAGGGTCCCAATTCTACAAAGTTTCTTTCATAGTTGCCTGTAATCACAGTATGATTGCTCGCATTAATTTGTTAGCTAGCCGCCTTAGATTTGGATTTGTTTTTTATATTTTACTAGGGTTAGTAGCAAGGTTAAAGGTTTGAAAAATTTTAGAGATAGAATGGAATAATGCTGATTAAGTAACTTTGACAAAGAGTGACTTCTTTTTAAATCAACTGATTAATTTAATAAAAAGAAATTATATTTCTTAAAACATCTTCATGGTAAGTAGGACCCAAATGCTAGTAAAAGAGTGTCTTGTGGTGTGTCCATAATGTCACACCGACAAGTAATTAGTAATCGTTTTGGGAAATCGAATATGATACCATCTGCTTTAGGCGGAGGCACCAAATAGGCCATCGGCTGGCAGCTGAGGGGAATGTATCGCACCCTTTTTGTATTTAAAATCTTCAGAGAAATTGTTGTGTAAAATTAGTTGCCAACTCAATGGCAATAAACTAAGCTGATTAAGACATTTATACATCATCATGTAAATGTTGGGATAAGTAATTAATTTTTTTTTTAAACATGTGTTCTGTCTCTATTACCATATTAATATGAGGTAGACTAAATTCACAACACACCCTTTCTTCTTCTTCTAGAACTAACGATTTCATTAAATTATATTATCATGTTATATATATATATAAAGAAAGTGTAATGATGGTATATTTGATAGTTTTTTGAAATGAGTTATCTCCATATTTAAATTATGTGATTTTCAATTTTTTTGATTGAAAAATTTTATTTAATTTTTTTAGTTTGATTGAAATCTTTTACTTTTCGAATTTTATTTTTTTAGACTCTCCGTTATAACACTATCAATCAATAATCGATATTTAATAAAAATATTATATTTTGGGATCCATAATACCATATGACATAATCTATGACTTATCCTTATGCTAGTTGTAATCGAAGCAAACGATCTATATTCATATTTATCGTATTAGTTGCTAGCTTGAGTAAGGATCCTTCTCGATCTACTCTTCTATCTTTGTCGAGATAAATTTATAAAAGTTGAAAAAATATGTTTTTTTTTTTAAAAAATCTCAATCTAATCTAAATTGATAGTCAAGATGTCAATAATTGATTGATATCGTCATAAAAGAAAGATCTAAAACAAAAAAATCTTAAAAAAATAGAATGTCTTAATAAAAATAAATAAAAATTCGAAAAGTAAAAGGTCAAAATAAGAAAAACCTCTTTTTAAAATGAAGTAAGTTTCAAGTCACATTTTTTCTATTATAATCATACAACGAATAGAATTATATATTAATTTATATACAAAATCAATTGTAACTTTTATTGGAAAAAGGAAAAAGAAAAGAAATGAAACGGTTTACTAGTCTCCATTCATTTATGAGATAGGCTTGCATGATACATGTGATGATCATAAGACGACAAATTATTTAGAGGCTGAACATAGGCCCTTGTATTCTTCGCAAATGTTGTGGCCCGAGGAAGGACGTAAGAAAAGTATAGAAGGTTCGGTGGAAAGGCATGCCGTTTCAATTGCGCTGTAAGTGGGTCATATGCAGGGCGGCCGCAAATGAGTGATTTAACAAGGAAACTTGTTGTATTGTATTCCTTTTTCAAAAACTCAATTATACCCTTGGCCCAAGTAGTAATTTGATTTTCCTTCATACATAAATATCAAGGTGCCATGCGGTTTTAGGAAGCCAGATTTGATTAATAGACATACTTCGTTTATGAGAGATTATTTAATAATTGGGTCAGTAGGTCACTTGGTCGAGTACTTGTTTTATGACAAAAACATAAGAAATGGCTAAAAGATACTTTACTTGCTTACAAAAGAATGCACATCAATGACACACCAATGATAATAATTGGTTTATATGTATGTAAAAGAAAATATACAAATTTTTAATTTGATGGTTAAAAGAATTTGTTGTTCACATTATCATTAAAAATTCAAATTTTAAAAATATTGTAAAAAAATAATTTCTTATAAATACATTGATGAGATGTAACTGATATGTTTAAAATTCGATTGAAAAAAATAATTTAATCTCTATATTTGAAAGTTAATTTGAAAATACTCTTTCTTTGACGTCATTGGGCTTGAGCCCACCTAACAATCGAGGGCCATTTTCTGTTTGGATCTATGTGTTAGTATATTTCTGTATTCAGTTGGTGATGGGGGCATAAAAGTCATCCAACTTTACGAAACAGAAAGACAAAGCCCACTCCACTCTCTAATTGGACGGAAAAGGAAATCTGGGCCAGAAGAAAGCAGCTGAACATGCCGTGACACGGTGGTGCGTGGAGGAAAGTCGAGGTTTTTTGGCTGGAGCGTGAATAGACGCGCTTCTTCTGGGTTCATTTGGATCAGTGGCTTGCCAATTGGACTTTCAACAGACAACAGCCTGTTGGGCTGGGCTCTTTTATATGCCCTAGGCTCCTTCATTGGACTGGAATGAACTGGACAAAACCCATCTGAAAATTTTTGCTTCGAAATAAAGTCTGAGAAATTATTAGTATTTCCGCTCTGCGAAAATAGAATCAGTAAATAATTTTTATGATGGATTTCAATTTCATATAAAAAGAATAATTTTATTTTTGTCTAATGATTTTCATAAAAAATTCATATTTGGAAAAAAAAAAGTTTTTACGAAAATAAACGAGAATTGTTTGAGGCCTAATGTGTTAAATAATATAGACTAATATAAAGAAAAAAAATAGGATTCAATATTAAATTTAGTGTATACCATTTATTATAATTTATTTCTTATGTAAATAATTGTAATTAATAAACTGAGAGGATTAACAGGTAGAGGAAAATTTTTCTTGTTGGCTATTATATTAGATGTATATATGCAGATCTTGCATCCATAGCCATAGCAAGAATGTAATGTAATATTTATGTTACGGATACAAAATAGTTAATTCTTCAACTAAGATTAGTCAAATGCTTAGTTATGAAAAACTTCTATGCTATTATGATTCAACCGGATCCGATCCGATCCGACATGATTCGTTTTTTTTTTTTTGGCAAAACAAATCAAATCTAGATCTATAATGATTCGATCCAAGTCTGATTTGTTGACAATCCCATTTATTAAAATTTCATTTTTGAATAAATGTTGTAAACAGTGACAGATTCTATCAAAACTTAGTTAGGCTATTAGTGTGAAAAGTTAAAGGAAATACAAACGTGAAACTTTTCGTAAAAAGAATAATTTGTGTTTTTTTTTTAATTTTTACTCCAAGACCTAATTGATATATATTTTTTTAACAATAACTAACTAAGTTTAGTTTGAGATTTTATAACTAAAAATATATATATTTTTAATTCTTCGTCAAATTTTGAAATAGTTAAATAATTTGGAGAGAAAATTTCTTTCAATAAAAAAAGGATAAAAATATAATTTTATATTCGAATGCATTATCGCTTAACTAAATAAAACAAAAAAACTTAATATTTCACATGAATGAATTATACTCCGTGCTCCTTCAAATCCACAAAAGCACCAAGTATTAACAAAAAAACTAAAGTAAAACAATCGATTACTATTTATTGTACTATTTGAAATACTATTCACCTGCACTCATTCGCACTATTCATCAAGACTCATGTCCACTACTTCTTTCGCTATACAATGATATTTTTGTAGTTTTTAAACATTTTAAAAACATTTATTATGAAAGTTTTCTTGATATTATACTTTGGTCTCTCTTTTAATTTTTTTTTTAATCTACAAATATTTTTTGTTTAATTTTTGTCCCTATTTTGTTTCATTTTGATCACTTCGATCCTTTTTTTATTTTTTTTTAATTTAAAATTTTAAGAAAAAAAATGTTTAGAAAAAACAATTTACAAAATAAGATTTTAGCTAAGAATCTATTGATTTTTGTATTTTTTATACCATTACAAATTTTTTAGTTTGTAGATAGAGACAAATAAATAATATTTTTTAATTAAAAATTTATGAAAAATATAAAAAATAATAAGTCAAATACAAAATTTTGATTAAAAAACTATAAAATGGAATGAATTTTTATCCATTTTTGATTTGATATATTTTGATATATCCATAATATAATATGGAATATAAAACAAAAATAATTAAAAAAATATTTTTATGTGTTCTATTCAATCTGCATTATAATGCGAGTGAAAAAAACTAGTTGAATCCGAACTAAAAGTCTCTACAATACGAGAGTTTAGACAACATATATTTCAATATTTATAACATGATCAAAAGAGAATGAGATTGTGAAAGAAATTGAGTACCTTTTTTATGAGTTGAATTGATTAAAAAAAGGAAAAATTGAATAAAAGACTCAAGGAGGATCCCCTCCTTGCAAACTTAAAAATGCAGCAATCCTTGATATAGGGGAAAAAAAAAAAAGGAAAACAAAAAAAAATGCAGCAATCATTTACCATGTTAATTAATCACCACTATAATAGTGGCACGCAAACATTTAAAAGTTCCATTGCTTGAAATTCATAAATTCACACCGATGAGAATTTTTGCAAAGCATTTTACACACATGAAAATACATATACACAGTACAAGGAATGTGCCACGGACACCATGCATGGGTATATAGTTAGGCGGTTGGATATGAGGAGTCCATGGCTATGCCACAGAGACCTTCCTCGGCATCTATGTCTCTCTTCATCCTCATGTATCCTTCCTCACCCCAGCTAGCCCCCCATGAATTCTTGACTAGCCAATATTTAGTACCATCACTAGTTTGACCATAGCCAACAGCTGTAACACCATGGTCCAACTCAGTTCCACACTCTCCTGTGAAAACACCAGTCGAATAGAATTGAAAGTCAGAGCCTCCAGCATCAATGGAAACAGAAATCGGCTGGTTGGCCACAGCCTTTAACAATGCTGCCTCGCTGTTAGCAGGAACAGTTTCATAGCCAGTGATTTTGGCTATGTGGGATGCCTCCTTTTTGGTGTTGCACGTTCCATCAGCTGCCTGGTAAGGGTAGTTTGTTTCAGTTGTGATTCCCTGATTCTTGATAATGAATTCAAAACCATCTTCCATCAGACCACCCTCACAGCCTTGATCCTCACCTTTAGTGTCACAGTCTACCAGCTCTTGCTCAGATAGGGAGACCAATTTACCTGTGCTTAGTTGATTGATCCCCTCAGTAGCTGCCACTGTGGAAAAGGCCCAGCAGCTGCCTGTTTTTGTCCCAAACAAAATCAGCAGCCATAATATACATGCAAGTTATAGTCTATAGCATAAAAACAGTGGTAAGGGGGCATTGTTTGGTGCAATCGTAAAACTTACCACACTGGCCTTGATCCTTGACAGGAGTAACAGCACCTTTCTTTCTCCAGTCCATGGTAGCAGGAACAGCAGTAACATTTTCATATTTAAAAGACGTTGCTTTCATTGGGCTTGTCTGAAGTGGCCTTCTATAACCATTACGGGCAGCCTTGAACTCTTCATTGGTTAGGTCTGCAAATTTATTAACACTTAGTTGATATGGTTTTTTTCCATCAATATTGAATGATTCTATGTATTCAACGTTGTCCTTGAATATCTTGAACCGTCTTTCTTTCTCTGCAGCATCTGCATAGACCTTGCCATATGTTGCCATCCATTGCTCATGCCTAGCAGACATAGATGACTCCTGGAGTTCACGAGAAGTAACTTGATATGCCCACGTCGCTAAAACGAGGAAGATTGCAAAGAAACATTGCCTTTTGCATATCGAAACCATCGTTTATCTATATTATGTAGAGAATGTGTATTAATTAGAAATGAATATTGAGATGCACATATGTAGTTGAATTCTATATATAGTATGCTAATCTTCCTATTTGATTCCTTCATTAATTTATGTGAACATGTTTTGCAAGAAGAAGACATCTCCGATGCCGAGAGTAACCGGCAAATTGCATATGATTCAGATGGCCAGGTAGTGTACCGTGTAATATGCTCTGATATTTGCCTAATTAAACATTTTCTTAACTATCTGCATCTGTTTTTTTGGTACAGACAAAAGGATCTTGAAGAAAGTATTTTGTGCTTATTTATTTTATTTATGACTAAACTATAGTTTGAGTCTGTAGTTTGGGCAGGATCCTTAATGCTTGTTGTCTTAGCCCATCAACTGTGTTCGAATTAATTCTGGGGAAGGCGAATGCAACTCCTATATTCGTTCCACTGGTCTTCCCAGTATTGTTATATGCTTGGATTGTGTAGGGACGACCATAATCTTTCCAAGTCACCGTGGAGATCTGAATTGAGATTTTTTTTTTTTTAATTCATACATTTCAGACTCACAGCCGAATTAATAACTTCTTATTGTAAGAGACAATTATCAATGAATTAGAAGCTTTTAGTTGAACTGAGAGCTGAAATCTGTCCCATGCACACAAACAACACAACATTAATTTTTTGGTCGAATTATATAATATGAGATCAATATATAGGATAGTTCAATATCAATTCCTGTGTTCTACAATATCAATTTTAGTAGGATATTCTAATACCGGTGCTTGTTTGTATACGATTTGGTGTAGTGTGGTAATAAGAAATAAAATGATGGGATGAGAATAAAAATTCTATATACCAACTTTATGGAAAAAAATGAGAATAAAAATAAAAATTAAATATAATTCTATTTTCAATTAAAAAAAACAGAGAGTAAAAGATTCCCCCCAAAAGGACATATCGACACCGGAGTGTCTTTCATGACTTGGCCGCAAGTCCCACGTCCCCTTTGGGCCCAAACTTCAAGCTTGGAGGAATATGCATCGGTCTAATATTTCTAATCAGTTAGGACAGAAATATTCAAGTTGAAGTAAATTATAAATTGGTCCCTTTTTTGTTTTGAAAAACGAATTATTTGGTTTTTTTAAAAAACTAATTATTTAGTCCCTATGTTTTTAAAAACACTTGTAATTTATTTATTTATTTTTTGCTATTTTTTAATTTATTTTAATTTTTTATTTTTAGAAATAGAAAAAAATATAAAAACTATGAAAATATTAACAAGAGAAAAAGACATTTTGTGAAATAAAAATAATATTAAATTAAATATGCTCAACTTCAAATGACTAAATAATAATTTTTGAAATAAAAGACTAATTAATATGTTTCTTAAAGCTAGAGGGACCAATTTATAATTTACTCAGCCTATTTATCCTTATTTATTTTTTATTTTAATTAATTTATTTCATCCTTGTTAGATGTAGAGTATATGTGTTATGGATTCATAATTATTTTAAGAGTCTAATTTAGGAATCCATATTTAATGCGAATCCATATTCAATTTGGACTTGAATTAATTAGTCCTTGTTCTTAATATGGATTGCATTAGAATTATTAAGTCCATATAGGGTTTGGATTTATTCTTTCGTAATATATGCATAGGTATGGCTTGGGCTAAGTTTTTGTAGTTCATTTGAACAAGTTTTCTTAATACTAGCCACATATTCTAGTATAGATATTTAAGTTTGTTTATTTTTTTTAAATAAACATTTATGAGAATTTTTTTCTTTCAAATCTTGCGTTCATTGTGCTTTGCTTAGGATGTGGCTCAATCCTTGAGCTTGCTTAGGATTTGGCATTCTGTATACTTAAAGTGACCGATCCAGGTGGTGTCTTCGATCTTCGAACACACTTTATGCTTGCTTAAGTTCTGTATGCATCCCACGTAAGTTTCAGCATTTGCATATTTAGGCATAGACTCATTTTATTTATTTGATTTGTGGATTTGGACGTGCTTATGCATTGAATTCATCTATTGCAAGTCACCATAAGAATTGCTTGTAAAACTTAGGTTCAAATTATTGCTTTTTTTTTTTTTTTTTGGTTTAACGGCAAATTTTGTTTTAATTCTATTGCGATTTGGTAATTTCGTGTCCGTAGTACTAAATTACGTAATTTGAATCCTAAATTATTAGAGATTAAAAAAATGTGATCTAAATTATCTAATTTTTGTTATGCGCAATGGTCAATCGGATTGATTGTTATGGATTGAACGTTACCCGAAATGCCATAACGACGTCGCTTTTCCATTTTGTTGTTAATTATGTTGTTTTTTTTTAAAAAAAAACTTTTTTTTTATAAAATACTATTGTAAAAAACATAATTAACAATACACAATTTCAGACCTTAAATAACATTTTATAAATTAAAATAAGCATAATTAAGAGTTGACCCCCCTAATTTTATAAATTATATAAAAACATTTTTTATAAAAAAAAGTTGAAAAAAGTACAAAATTAGGGGGTTAAGAATATTTATAATATTTTATAAGAAAAAAGTTTTTTAAAAGGTTCAAGATTAGGAGGTTAAAAATATTTTAAAAATATATGTATTTTTTAAAAACATAATTAACAAGTGGAATACTAAAACGACGTTGTTTTGACATTCCAACCAATAGTCAACCGGGTTGACCTTTACATGGAATAGAGATTGGGTAATTTGGATTACATTTTTTCAATCTCCAATACTTTGGAATTCAAATTACGCGATTTTATAATATGAATCCGAAATTGTCAAATTGCAATAAAATAGAGACAAAATTTATAATTGAACACTTTTTTTTGTGTTTTTTTTGCTTAATGTTTTGGCTAACATCAAATTATGGTCAGCTCAATATCAACAACTTTAATTTCTTGTATTGGATTGATTGTTGATTGTTTGGGAGGCTTGCGTTGGTTTGAAAATTATTTCTTCGTTTTGTGTTGAATTTTGCATCCCTTGCTTTTGCCGATTATTGATTTTGTGGGGTTAAATATAGCCTATGTCCCTTTACTATTCCAAAAACTTTATTGTAATTCTTTTATCCAAATATACCGCATAACAAACCTTGTACTATTAGATATTACTTGTAACGCCCTCGTCCGAGTCCTATTTCTACTACCCAAGTAGTGGTATCGGACGAAGCGCGTTACGCCGACATACCCTAAACTCTAAGTAGTTCTCTTATGATATTCTTAAAAATTTTTAACAAAGACAAGACGTATATAACTCCTTAAGATAAATTTTACATAACATAATTAAATATATTAATAAAATATTACGAGCAATATTCAATTTCTCACTGACTCCATACCCCAAATTTACGTACAAAATAAAAACTAATATATGGTGCCTCACATGAGCCAGCTTAGGAGGAGCCAGCCGCATCAGCACCAACTTGTCCTTTTCCCGTCACGACATAAAAATAACAACAAGGTGAGCCGAAGCTCGCAAGTGGGGTGATGCACATGATATGCAATGTTGTTTTGACTTCCCACCATACTCATAAATTTTAATCTTGGGTACCTTGGGTATTAGCCAGCCTATTCTATTTATTATCCGGTGGTCCGCAGATCACCTTCTCGTTACAACGGAATTATCCCTCGTTGTAACTACTATTAGCGGGAATCCATCGTCTAACAAAGGCAAGCACACAACTTGATTTCATCCAGCATGATCCTCTGATCATCTTTTGCTACAACGGCATTATCCCTCGTTGTAACTACCGTTAGCGGAATCCATCGTCTAACAATGCAGTGCACACAACCTAGAGTACTCGGACTACTAATACCCATTTATTCTAGTAGGTTATCAAACCTAGATGTATAAATCATTTCTCAATCAATTGACTTGTCTTAAACCACCCATTATGCACATGATGCACGTGATGACATATTTAATCACATTCAACCAATTTCGGGTACAAACCCTTCGTTTTCATGCCATACTTACGGTCCAACCCATACCGGGTTTCGAGCATAATCCTACCCCCTTATCATCATGAAATGCTTTCATAGATCCAACCCACACTCGGGTCTCTTAAGCTTTAACAATTCACACCAACCATCCTTACCTATTCCATATTACTAAACAATCATATTTTACATCAACTTTTAAATATATTAAAGTATACTTTCTACCTTCACTTTCTATCTATTTGAACCTAATTAATTATTTATTACATTATCTTAGTGAAAGGAATGGAAACCAAACAAGTATGGAACAAAAAAGGTGACTTTTAAGTGACTAGTGAATTACACGGCGTGGCCACACCCGTGTAATAGGCCGTGTAACTCTTTGACTCTAAGAAAACACATTTAGTCATTATACGGGTAGGAACACGCTAGTGTAAGAGGTCATATAACTCTCTCGCTTCTAAGAAAAACATATTTTGTCATTACACGGGACAAGACACGCCCGTGTAACTCTCTCGCCTCTAAGAAAAATATATTTTGTCATTACACGGCAAGTACACGCCCGTGTTAAAGACCGTGTAACTCTCTCGCCTTTAAGAAAAACATATTTTGTCATTACAGGGGACAATACACGCCAAGTGTGAGAGGCCGTGTAACTTTCTCGCTCGAAATTTCATTCACGAAAACTCTTAAGTTTCATTTTTCTTCCTTTCTACTTCATGTTTATTCAAGTCCATATATGTCCGAATTTCACCCGACTCGTTTTAGGTCAACCAAATCCATTAACCATCCCCTCCATACATGGATCTACTAAATACAAACCAATCAAAACTCCCCAAATAATCACATAACTAACCATCACAATCAAACCATTGTCAATTATCAATCATGGAACAACCTAACCAACATAATCAAATCAACAAACGCATCACAACACAAAATACAAGCTTAACCATTTATAATAACATCAATTGCATGACATAAAGCAATAAAGAAAACCCACTTACCTAAATAGATTAGCTTAGGCTCTTTCCTTTAGCTTTTTCCCCTCTTTTTCCTTTCCCTACTTTTTCTTTCTTTTCCTTCTTCTCCTTTTTCTTGCTATGACTTTCTCTCCTTTTTTTTTTTTTTTTTTTCCTACAAGAGCTATGGTTTTGCTAAAGAAAATGACCAGATTTCATCCTTTCTATATATATACACACTCCCTTTTTCCTTGCCTTCAATAGCTATACATGTGGCTTGAATTAATTAGGCAAGGTGGAAAGCAAGTGGTGAGTCATGGGGGAAGAGCTGGCTGGTTTGGTTGGCAATTTTGGGTGAGTTGGCTATGAATTCATTTAATGCATGGCTTAGGTGTCCTAATTAATTGGTTAATGTAACTAAAGACTCTAGCTAATCTTGTCCAAGTAACTAAACCCATTTTCTTTCTTGAAAATTTAGAAATTCCTATTTTTGTTTAAAATTCGGAATTCCTTTTCCCCAAAATTCCAACAATGATACATCAAAACCAGTCTGTACTAAAATAGCCATAACTCCTTTTATATTTATCTAAAAATCATGAAATTTTATAGAGAGCTAGTAGACACATAGACGAATAACTTTTATTCTTTAAGGTTTACCCAAAAAGTACTCTAACATCCTTAAATAAATCACACTAAAATTCGGATATAATATAGTCCTCAATACCGATTTTGCATAGTTGGTTTATTTAATAATTAGATCATTAATCTCAAACATAATAACTTTAATTTAACATAAATCACACATTGCAAGCATTAATTTCTCATGGTGAAATGAGAATTATATTTATTCTTAATATACATATATACGGAATTATTCTAATACACATCGTATTACGGGAAGGATTTTTACTGGGGTTACATTACTACTTCTTTGTTAACTCCTTCCATCAAGTGGATCAAATTCTGACAATTCTTGTAATGACATGTGTCACATTAAGGATAAATATATAATTTTTTATTTAAAATCAGTTTCTTTTTTGAATTTTTATTAACTTAAAATAATTAATAAGTATTATAAAATCATAAAAAAGACAAAAAAATCATAATTTTTTTGTCAAATTTTATTTATTTAA